GTCATCTACTGTACCTGTTTCCTCCACCCAGCACCAACTGTGCTGGCACAGCTGTGGTGCATGGAGCTTCTTTGGCTGTGCCTCAGCTTCCATTCTTTAGAGTCACACTACCTAGTAAGGCAAATTCTTAGATAATTGGGGAAATCCTTACGCTTACATGCATGGAATTTCTCCATTCTTGCCCGAAGGAATGCATCCCTCCACGTGTGGTGAAAGACGTCCGCAAAGGGCTGAGACCCTATTCCACCAGACAGTTCCAGTCATGCTGGAAGGAATTCCAGAGCTTTCTCAGTGAGAAGAGTTTGCCACACTAGCGTAGCTAGGGGGGGGGCGGTCCGCCCCGGGCGGCACGGGCGGCACTTTTGGGTCTGCTCATCACCCATATCTGCAGCTACTGGAGACGTTAATCCATCCCTTTGTATCGGCGGCAAGTTAATCCTTGTCGTGTCTGACCTAACACCTGACCCACATCATCACGGCCACGTCATGAGCTACACCCTTGCTATGCGCCCCCCCCCGCCACACACACAACCTGTAACCTGTTGAGGATTAAGGAAACAACTTCAAACAAGTACGCCAGTGAGCTCATGTGGTGTGGGTCAGGTGTTAGGTCAGACACGACGAGGATTAACTTGCCGCCGATACAAAGGGAAGGATTAACGTCTCCAGTAGCTGCAAAACCATGCAGTCTCGGGTCATATCAGTTCATGTACAGCCGACCAATCCACCAGTTAACTGATGAAGAAGAAAATACAGCTACCAGGGCAGATGCTGGTGTTCTACTTGGTGCGTTGCAATCATTTTCCTTTTTGTGCTTTCTTGGCCTGTGGGGACCCGTCCTTCTAGAAATTAACGACACACAGACTTACCTCCAAACCAAGGGCTTGAACATACAACAATGTGATATAAAACTCAGGGCATTAGAAACATTCCTAGTTGAAAACAGGGACAAGCTAGTGAGTAATGGAGTTAACTATGCCAAAGAAATTTGCAATGATCTGGGGATAGTCATGGAGCGTCAGCATCGACCCAAAAAGAAGAAACAAATGTTTGGTGAAGGATCACGAGATGCTGAATTGCCATACGACATTGAATTGAGGAGAGAAATGTTTTCTTCGCTGGACAGAGTGATCGAAGAAATAACTTTGAGATTTCAACAGCTTCATGAACTTGCTGAGAAATATGCCTTCCTTACCCCATTGAATCTTTTGGATAATAAATATGAGTGTCAAATAGATCACGATCACGACGACATTGATAAAGAGGAGTTCCTCGTTGAGAGAAAAAGACTTCAGCATTTTGTTGCTGTTGCTGCTATAACTATTAAAGACAGAATACAGACGTGGAAAGAAGGCCCCCTTGAACTTTTGCAGTTTATTCAAAAGTATAACCTTGGGAACTCGGTTCCAAATATAGTAATAATGCTGAGGATTTTCCTCACAATTGCTGTTAGTGTTGCTACCTGTGAGAGGAGTTTTTCGAAACTAAAACTGATCAAGAATTACTTAAGATCTACTATGAGCACCTTGCGGTTGAGAAATCTTGCCATACTGTCTATAGAGCGACAATTGACAGATGAAATAGTTTTTGACAATGTCATTGAAGAATTTGCCAACAAAAAAACAAGAAAAGTTACTTTGTAGAAAGTTGTAGTTTTCATTTCAGAAATAAAGATGGTCCTAATTTTTTACACTTTTTTACTTTTTTCCCTATCCTATATGTCGTTTTTGCTTTTTGTTTAACTGTTACTTATAAAGTTTAAGTATGTTTGGTGTGTATTTAAAGCATACTATATTTGAGTATGTGAAAGTACAGTAATATTATAATGGTACACAAACTATTTAATATATATATATATATATATATATATATATATATATATATATATATATATATATATATATATATATATATATATATATATATATAAAATACTGCAATATGTATTTTTTGTGGGGGCACGGGCGGGGGCAGCAGCAAACTCAAGGGCCGCCCCGGGCGGCACACAATCTAGCTACGCCACTGGTTTGCCAGATGTGACAGGGAATTGTCTTGCAGCTCCTATCTTCCCTCTTTCATGAGAAAAGATGGGCAGTACTTACCATCTCTTCACACTTAACAGTACTGGTGGACCCCACTTCTATGGCTTCAGGATTACATTGCGCCAGCGCTCGGTCAAACTTCTCAAGAAGAGCTTCTTTATTCAATGCTCTCCATTACACCTGGAATGCCCCTTCTGATCCATTCAGAAAGTCCCCTCCTTCCTTCGAGGAACGAAATTTCGGGGCAATCCCAGAGTAGCGGACAGCTCCACAAGACCAAGTTCCTCACAACATTAGCAACAAGACTACAGGCCTCCCAGCTGGCAGCTTTAACTCACTATCCTAGCTGGACCTGCTTCGCCACCGACTTGTCACAAGCCTCCTTAGCTCCTCCCATTTCCTGGAAAAAAATGAGAGGCAGGACCATAGACTGCAACAGGTAGTTCCCACAGCATGGAAGGAAAAGTATGGACACCAAGATATCTGCCTTGTGGCAACCTCAAGGCTACCTGGAGGCTAAGGAAAAGGCAATGAATGGGACGAGATGCGGAGACTGAGCTCCCGCCACACAGACAGGCTTCCTGATACTATCCTGTGCCAGCTGCACACTCAGAAACTCCCTGCAGAAGTTCGTCTCGCTCTGTCCGCACTGGACTACTCTACAACCCCGGCGACCTACGCAGCCACGGCAGACAGAGTATTCCATGAATACACTGCTGTGCCCTATGTTGCCGCAGACAACTCAGCGGCCAAACCGTCACTTTCCTCCGATTCCGTCAATCAGATCAACGCTCCTCAGAGAAGTAGCATTCCACTAGACAAACAAGGCATGAGGGAACTGCTACAATCTCTACACCGCAGAATGGACACCCTCGAGCAGCTCGGCTCCTCCATGCCAGCTACTGCTCCTGTTCCTGCCCCAACCCCAACAGCCCCGTCCTGCCTTAGACGCCACTGCCAGCCCCAGCACAGTGTACCTACCTTCTCGTTGGTACCATCAACATTTTGGTGCTAACACTAGACGATGTGAGGCTCCCTGCAACTACAACGAGGAAGCGACATCAACGGGGGTTGGTAAACGCCACTACCTCCGTCACTTCAGGAGTCTCACCGCTGCATGTCACCGACCACATCCGTGGACTCAGTCACCCACATATACGGGCTGCCCAGTGCCTGGCCTACCAGTCCTCTAAAATACATCGACCCATACGGGCTCCCTTAGAAACCTTCCCTGTACCCAAAGGACTCTTCCAGGTAGTGCACCTCGACATCATGGGACCTCTTCCATCATCCTGCGGCAACACCTACATCTTCACCTGTATTGACCGTTTCACCAGGTGGACAGAAGCCATTCCCATGCCTAATGCTACAGCAGAGTCAGCCATCCGCACCTTCCTGTCTGGTTGGGTCTCCCGTTTCGGTCCTTTCACGAGTGTCATCACTGACCGAGGAGTCCAGTTTGAGTCACAACTCTGGCATAGTCTCCTGCAGTTCCTCGGCACTTCCAGGCACCGCACTACTTCTTACCACCCTCAATCCAACGGCATGGTAGAGCAGTTTCATCATCAGCTGAAGGATGCCATCAAGGCACAGCACGACCCCTACAGCTGGACGGATGCTCTACCTTAAGTGCTCCTTGGCATCCGTGCAAGCACCGGGAAGAGTCCGTTGTAAGAGCGTTGTAGTGGGTTGCGGTGAGCATCGTGCCTGACGAAGACATACTCGGTATTGAGTAGTGCAGGAGGGATGTGTTCAGGGCGATGGGAAGGCTGGCGTGGGGCAGTAACCCTGAATGCAGAAACTGCCTGTCGTAGTGTTTGCAGTAGGTAGTGACAGACAGCAGAGAAGTGAAGTGGTCGAGGTCAGGAAGTACACGCTGGGCTGCAGTTCATGTCCTCTTTGTTTGACGAGTGGATGCCAAGGAGCACTAAGCATCCATCCAGCTGTAGGGGTCGTGCTGTGCCTTTATGGCGTCCTTCAGCTGACGATAAAACCGCTCCACCATGCCGTTGAACTGAGGGTGATAACAGTAGTGCAGTGCCTGGTAGTGCCGAAGAACTGCAGGAGACTATGCCAGAGTTGTAACTCAAACTGGACTCCTCGGTCGGTGATGACAGTCTTTGGAGGACAGAAACGGGAGACCCAAACAGACAGGAAAGCGCGGACGGCTGACTCTGCTGTAGCATTAGGCATGCGAATGGCTTCTGTCCACCTGGTGAAACGGTCAATGCAGGTGTAGATGTAGGTGTTGCCGCAGGATGCTGGAAGAGGTCCCACGATGTTGAGGTGCACTACCTGGAAGCGTCCTTTGGGCCCAGGAATAGTTTCTAAAAGAGCCCATGTGTGTCAATGTATCTTAGAGGACTGGCAGGCCAGGCACTGGGCAGCCCATTTCTGAGTGTCGACCTTGATGCCGGGCCAGTCAACACGTTGCATGAGCAGGCACTGGGAGGCCCGGATACCTGGGTGGCTGAGACCATGGATGCAGTTGAAGATGGCGCGGCGGTGTATGTGTGGCACGAGCGGTCTAGGCTGCCCACAAGACATGTCGCACCACAACTTTATGTTTGTGCCGATAACGGGAGTTCTTGGAGGGCGAGACCTGGGGGAGATGTCTTGTATGCTGCGAGGTCTTCGTCATTTTCTTGAGCCGTGGCGAGCTGTCCATGGGTGAAGATGAGGGAAGAATGCTGGATATACAACAAGAGAGTGTTTGTCGGCGATCTCGTTGTGGCTGCCCTTGATGTGTTGGATGTCGCTGGTGAACTCCAAGATGTAAGCCAATTGGTGAAAAACACGAAGTGTGTGTGTGTGTGTCAGAGGCTGAAGCGAAGGCGTGAACGAGGGGCTTGTGATCAGTGAAGATGGTGAACTGATGGGCCTCAAGGAAGTGTTGGAAATGCTTGACAGCAAGATATATGGCCAGGAGCTCTTGAACGAAGGCGCTGTACTTGAGTTTCAGTGGTTGCAGCCGCTGTGAGAAGAAAACAATGGGCATGAGAGTTCTGTTGATCTCTTTTTGTAAGACGGCGCCCATGGCAGTAGAGGGAGCGTCTGTTGTAAGAGTGGTCCCCCGGCGTTGGGAGCAGGGTGCGCCAGCAGGGTAAGGTGTGTGATGTGCTGCTTGATAATGTTGAATGCTGCAAACGCCTCTTGAGTCCATGTGAGAAGCTTGTGAAATGTCTTGGGGAGTCCCTTGAGGAGATCATGGAGAGGAGCGTGGATGATAGCAGCCTGGGCAATGAAGCGGTGGTAGTAGTTGACTAAACCCAGGAATTCTTGGAGGTGTTTTGCTGTCTCAGATTTGGGAAACTCTTTTATGGCAGTTACCTTCTGTGGTAGGAGTTGGTTGATGCTCGACAAGACTCTGTGACCGAGGAAGTCGATGGAGGAGGCTCCAAAGATGCACTTGGCGGGATGAACTTTCATGTTGTTGTTCTGCAGGCGTTGGAAAAGGAGCCGTAGGTGGCGATGATGTTCGGCAGGCATCGGAGATGCGATGAAAATGTTGTCTATTTAGACAGTGACACAGTCGAGGTTGCGAAGAATGTGGTCCATGTATCTCTGGAAGTTCTGAGCTGCATTGCAGAATCCAAATCTCATGTAGGCATTCTCTAAGGGACCATATGGGGTGGTGATGGCAGTCTTCTGGGTGTCTGCAGGTGCCACTGGAATCTGATGGAAGGCACGCTCCAAGTCGAACTTCACGAAGATGATCTTGCTGTGGAGTTTGTGGTGGAAGTCCTGGACATGTGGGGTGGGGTACCTGTCAGGTTCAGTGACAAGGTTAAGGGCTCTGTAGTCACAGCATATCCTCCAGTCATTGGAGGATGGCTTTGGAACCATGTGAAGAGGAGATGCCCAGGGACTCTTTGAAGGTCGAATGATGCCGTCTAGCAACGCTTCGTGGATAGCACAGAGACTTCCACCGGAAGGGAAGAAGGCAGATATACAGCCCATTCCGAAGCCCAGAGAACCAGACAAACCAAGACCCAACTTCCTCCTCATTTGCATAGCAAAGACGGGAGAGAGAATGGCTCTCAACAGGCTCAAGTGGAAAGTCAGCAGCACACACCCTCACATTTTTGCTTACACGGAGAACACTGGTACAAGCAACAACATTGCCGAGATACTCAGCACAGTGGACAATAAACCAGCTTTGGTGGTCTTCTTCGACTTGGAGAAAGCCTTCGAATTAGCAAATCCACTGGCCATTATGATGACGCTCGCCGAAAAAGGCGTCAAAGGAAGGTCGCTGGGGTGGATCCAGAACTACCTCACACAGAGAAGCAAGAGTACACTTTCAAGGGGCCACGTCAAGCTACAGGGTTCACGAAAACGGAACCCCATGTCATGGTCACATTGACTGCTTGTCTGTTGTAAATCTGATGATTCTTATAATACTTCACGCCAGCAAAACATGAATGGGTAACTTGTTAGTTACCCCTAGGAAGAAACGCGTTTTACACAAAGGATCCCTTTCTAAGTCCGGTCTTTGTGAACACTGTTGTCAATACGTGTATATTCCACTTTCTCCTGGCAAGCTCAATCTTGAGTTAGTTTATGTAAATCAACTTCAGTAATTCGCCAGACCTTTGTCAACTGAAGGCCATCTTTGAATGCGTAGCAGTTGGTTTGTTTGTAATTTCTGTCATTGCGCGAGGAGCCACGTCTAGCAACTCACGGGTATAAAAACCCTGAGCGAGAAGGGGAGAGCCTCCCGTGACGCCCTCCATTTGTTCTCAGGTATGTAAGACAGTATTCCCTGCCGATATAGCCATTAAGTTTGATTTAGTCAATTTTGTGAGTATCAGTGTTCATGTTGTGACAGTGAAATTGTCATTTACTCAGTACTAAAGTAAATGTCGTCTGTCATTGCCAGACGAGAGATTTGTTGTGATTGAGTCATCGCCAAGCCCTCCTGTGACTCCCTCCATTTGTTCTCAGATCCAGTGTGTGTGTTATTTGAACACCCCACCGACTGCCCGGAGTCGGTGGATACCTAACAGTTAGTTGTGAGGGACGATGGCGCCAATTCGGCCGGATTAAATTGATCAAGTCTGCCTCTTGGGGCTGGACCCCAGACTGTCAACACGTGTCCAACTACATCCGACCATAACAACGGTCGTCAGTTGTGAGACACCAGTGTCCTACCCTGGGACACTCCTGGCAGTTATATTGTCCACGGTGTCTGTTGTATATGTTTGAGAATAATTCTGGAATATAATTATCCCATGTTGGGTAGTGAGCCCATGTGTAACTTGTTGGTATCAGTATTAATGTGTTGTGTGTTGTGAGTGCATCTCATATGTACTAACAACAGTCTGTGAAGGTATCAGATGTAAGTTTGTCTTATAACTGGATGTAATGAAATGTACACTCGGAAACCATATTCTCTAGCCCACCTGGGTCGGTGCTGGAGGTTAGTACAGTGTCCTTTCTGGATGGGGGCCCACTCTATCACGAGGCAACACACGCACGAACACACACAGTCATAGTACGGCTGTATAGATGACATTATGTATAAATATTGTATATGGCATTTTATACTCTGCATTATCTTCATTATATATGAACACAAAGAAAAATTACCATAGGTTGTAGTTACGAAAGTATGAATGGAAATAAACACTTCCAAACCACCCAGTGAGTCCACACAACGTTTACAGTGCTTGTGTGTGTGTGCCAGACCACGATGCTTCCACCACACCCCATCTATATCTTTTATTTTCCCATCCTTTGCGTAACTATATGAAAAATCATGTTTAATGTAACTACATATTTCAAAAACCTTAAATTACATGTGGATCAGTCACTCCTCATTTGACACACTTATAGTGTAATACTTTGATCATCCCACCTGGGCACATGGAGGCCCACGGTAACTCTCACGGGGCAACATACGCACGAACACACAAGTTATGATACGAACCCTTCCAGGCTTCACTATCATTATCATGTTATGTTCATCGTGCTCTGTATCTTGGTAACTAGTCATAGTATCAATACATGACAGTGTTATTAGTATAATATTGTAACTTTTGCCCTACAGTTATTGTTGTAAATCATGGACAGGAAGGGTACATAAATTGTAATATCAAGTGTATGGTTCGCTCAAAGCCACTCTAAGTCAGACAACGCGTCACACAAAGTTACACTGTGTGTGTGTGTGTGTGTGTGTGTGTGTTCTGTAACATTAAGCTTCATCCTTAATAAGTAAGATGTTTCATAAAGAGGTTTCTCCCATTCGTCATTGTGAGCATCGTCCCAGAGCACATTGTTTCCATCAAAACCATGGTTCATCCTTATTTCCCTTCTTCTGTGTAACTATATCCATATGGCTAAGTGCTTGCTTTTTATTTCTTTATTTACCAAAATAATGTGGATCAGTTACTCGTTATTTAACACATACATGCACTTAGAGCATCAAGATTTTTTTGTAGGCATGACTATTGGTTAATTGAAACCCCAAAAATGTGGTTTTACGTCACCACATAAATATGCTTACAAAATCTATGCATTAATATGGATAACTCTTGGGAATCTGTCCAGACATTAAATATATGTTATATACTACAATAATCACATAGATATGTTTACAATGTTTATGCATATGTTGCCCCGTGAGAGTTACCGTGGACCTCCATGTGCCCAGGTGGGATGGTCAAAGTATTACACTATAAGTGTGTCAAGTGAGCAGTGACTGATCCACATGTAATTTAAGGTTTTTAAAATATGTAGTTACATTAAACACGATTTTTCATATAGTTATGCGAATGATGGGAAAATAAAAGATATAGATGGGGTGTGGAGGAAGCATCGTGGTCTGGCACACACACACAACGCTGTAAACGTTGTGTGGACTCACTGGGTGGTTTGGAAGTGTTTATTTCCATTCATACTTTCGTAACTACAACCTATGGTAATTTTTCTTCGTGTTCATATATAATGAAGATAATGCAGAGTATAAAATGCCATATACAATATTTATACATAATGTCATCTATACAGCCGTACTATGACTGTGTGTGTTCGTGCGTGTGTTGCCTCGTGATAGAGCGAGCCCCCGTCCAGAAAGGACACTGTACTAACCTCCAGCACCGACCCAGGTGGGCTAGAGAATATGGTTTCCGAGTGTACCTAGTAATGTTGTAAGAAGCGAGAATATCTGATTGGAGTGACATATGGGTAAAGCCAAGGAATTGATCCTGGTAACTGTTAATGTAATGTAACACCAGTAAGGTTGTGTGTAGAATGATACAGTATCTAATTAAATTGCAGTTGAGTTAAGCCAAGGAGTTGCACCTTGGAGTTGTATGTTAATGCCATATTTTTCTCTACTTTAATTTCATTTTAATAAACCTTTTCTTAGAGTATTAGGGATATTCATTTCACCTCGGTATTTACCTTTATTTTGTCCAAGTGACCTTGATACCAGAATAACAGTACCCACGGGCCTGTCCTCGCCATGCTACCAAAAAGAACTGAGGTTATGAAGTAACCATGAACTAAAATATGTAGACAGAACAATTGAAGGAAGTAAGACAGTGAGAAGTGAGATAAAGGTGGCCTCGGTGGTTCAGCAGTAAGTAGTAGTGTTACCCCCGCACTTACAAGGATGGTGCTTGCGTGTTAGCTTTACAATGGTGGCAGCTTCAGGCACACCCTTACACCCACAAGGAGGCATCCTCAGTCCAACTCTGTTCAATGTCCTGATGGAAAATCTAGTCAGACTTCTTTTCAGACAAACAGCCAAGCTCCTCTGCTATGCAGACGACTTACAGTTCATAGTAAGAGGAGCAAACAGACTAGTCAACACGCAACACACACTCCAACTTATAGAAAAGGAGTGCAACAGACTTGGACTCAAGATAAATCCAGCCAAGTTGAAAGCGATGGCCATCTGCACAGACACACCAGACAAGATGCTCTCCATACAAAACACGCCGGTAGTCTGGACCAAAACCCACCAGTGTCTTGGAATTTAGTTCGACCAGAAACTCACTTTTAAGCCGCAACTCTAGTATTTCAGGCACAGGACGAAGAGCAGACACAACATAATGAGGTAGCTCACCAGCACAACTGCAGGAGCGAACAAACATGTGCTCAAAGCCTCCTACACGACCGCCATCAGATCACTGGTAGATTACAATGCTCCAGTGCTCATTGATCTGAGAGAAGACCAGATAGCTAAGCTAGAAGTTATTCAAAATAATGCTCTCAGGACCATGCTCGAAGCGGCCATGTGGACCAGAAATTGCAATTTGCAAATGGAAACTGAACTACCACCATCCCTGGCAGTACGAGTCAAGCAGGTGACAGCCGGTCTCCTCGCCAAAATCTGTAGATCAGATAAGCCCACAGCTGCCAAAACGCGAATCAGTGCCTCCCTCCACCTCGACCACAGAGTGCGAGGGGCCACCTGGTCGCACGAGGCAAGTGAGGTCATCGGGCACCTGCAAGAAAACAGCAGAAACACTCGCCAAGAA